AAATACGAACAAGGATGAAAAAACCTAAACTAAAGTTATGAACAGGAATAGATCTTGTATTATAATCTGGAAATTATGCTAAAATCTGGAAGAACAATCTAAAAGTTGAAAAAAAAAATATGCGCTAGGCAGTTTTTATAAGGCAGGTCATCTAGCTTTGTGTGTTCTCTTGTTTTCCTTTTCTTCGGTGCTACGAAGCCTTCTCCATGATTTTTGGCCTTCTTCCCAACATGAACGGGTAGTGGGGACTCCACGTCTAGGCAATTGTCTGGTAGCTGATAGTTTTTTATTTAATCTTATTTTCAATAAAACCCTAGTAATATTCTTCTCCTAACAACCCTCAACTTCCTAATTTAGATCAAACTCAACCATCAGAAACTAACTTATCTTCCGCCACCTAAAATCCAACCTCTTTAAAAATTCGTCTAGGCCATTAAATTCTAACTTAGCCTAGCCCAATTCAACCTAACCCAACTTAATGACTCTCCTTAAAGATTGGGTTTAATCTTGACACATGACTTTACCCTATTGGTTTATTTTTAAGTGTAAACAATATTTAAAAAACTTCAATTGTTTCCATATTTGTATATATATATTTGTAGAGAGAGAGAGAGAGAGAGAGAGAGAGAGAGAGAGAGAGAAAGAGAGAGAAGGAAAGAAAGAAATCCAACAAAAATATTTCTTATTTCACATTGCTTAAGATCAACTCCATGCCAATTTTTCAACAATTTGTTCTTATTTCCACGTCCCAAATTTGGTGTAGAAATTGGTCCCACTACCAGCAAGGTAAGCTCCTGACCATGAGATCAGACTGCACTTATAAAACGTGCAAAAATTTTTGTTTTTGGAATTTTTTGCAGAAAGAAAGAATATTATAGAAAACTGATTGATAGTTGAATTTCCATTTTGATTTTCCCTTTCTTTTTCCCCATGTAGGTTCCTTTCAGACGAAGATGATTAAAATGTACTACTGTATTTTTGTGCGCGAAAGTTATTGATCCAACGGATATTATTATCCACTCGGTCGGTGTGGCCCTACACACCAGCATACGGTTGGTGGCTCGGTGGCGTGTCATCCTTTCTCCCAAGTCTTTCATTATTGTGTATAAGAGACGGCTGTTTTACATGTATTAGTAGTTTAAATTAGAAAATAATTTTTTTTGTTTGTATATATTGTAATATATTTTAGTATAATTTTTGAAATAAAATAATTAAAATATACTTTTTATCCTATAATAATTACTAGATTTTTTTTATTTAGAATGTTGCAAAATAATAGTTATTTTTTTTATTTTAAAAAGAGATAAATATTTTTTTACATTAATTTTATTACTATTTCTCAATGTTAATTATTTATCTTTTAATTAAAATAATTATGTATTTTTTAATGGTAAAATATGTAAAAATAAAAATTATGCTCAAATATTATACCAAAAAAAAAAAACAATTTAACAACAATTTTCTGTATAATTTTTTTAGAAAGTAATTACTATAATTTTTTTATTTAACACATTTTCTTATACTTATTCAATTTAATCATTAAATTATAATATAAATAAAATCGATTTAGTTAATTAATGTATTTTATATATATGATTACATCTTTAAGTTTATATGTCTTTAAGTTTATATGTCTTTAATCTATATTAAAAATAATAATTTTTTGATAAATATGTTATGTAATATGTTATATTAGATAATATATCAATTAATATCTAATTTTTTTTGTAGAGTCCATATGATATATAATCTAATAATTAACTATTTTCATTAAATCAAAACCTATTTCTGTATCTATACATTTAATTATATATAAAAATTATAAAAATAAATTATCTACATGTTAACACCCGTTATATACTACAACGCACATATAGGTGCTTTTTATGTACATATAGTTTCGAAATTAGAAATTGTGTACAAATAGGTGCCATTTAGGCTAAAGGATTACAGGTGGTAGATGTAGACGTTTTGCCCTGAAATGGACCTCTGGCTTAAAAGTCAGCAAAAATTTTCTTTATCTTTGTCTTAAAGTAAATGCTCCATCTGCCGACTCTATGTATTTGAGTGCATCCCCACTTTTTTTCTTTTTCTTTTTTTAAGATTAAGAAAAGCTCTATAAAGCATAAAATTAAGAATAACAAACTATTATCCTGATAGTGAAATATATATATATATTGTCCTGATGATCCCAAATAAAAAAAATTTATATTTTTATTCTCATTAAAATATAAAAAATGATAATTATTTTAAGATAAATTTAAGTTAAAAGATATTGCAATTGAGGGAGTACATACTAGCAGTGTAAAGGTTGATTTCAACCTTTGTTAGTAAGGGTAATTTCATGTTATTGGCAGAAAAAAAAAAAGTAATAGTACACTGAATTTATTTTTATAACTTTTATTTATAAAATTTATATATTATTAAATAAATAAATGATAAAAATAATTAATTATTAAATAATATATAAAATTATTAAAAAATAATTTACATAAAAATTATGTCTAAATTATTATTTTTAATAAAATAAAAAAAGAAAATAAACTTCGTCTATAATGAATATAAAATCTCAATGTTGTATAGTCTCTATTTTTGTTTTTCTTTTTTTGACCACTTTGTTTAGTCTCTATTACACCGACATTCCATTAGGCTTGATTAATTAAATTAATTAGTTTATAACCCCAAGGTTTCGTGTGATTTCCTAATTTAATATCTTTAAATGTATTATATTAATGTGAAAATGATTTATAAAATTATTTGGAGAAAGATTAAAAAATATTTCAAATTATTGTAAAGTGTTATAATTGTGGTTTTTTAATATTTTATTATAAAAAAATTATATTATTATTTAATAATTATTTTTAAAAGAATCTTATATATTATTTGACTTTTAAATTATATAAAATATTAATTAAAATTAATTTAATCTTAAGAAATTATTAACACTTTTATAAAATATTATGTGAAAAATCAATATGAAAAATAAAAAAATAACTAAATATATAATGATAATTAAAAAAAATTATATATAGTTATTGTTGGATAGTTTTATTTTATAAAAATATTTTTTAATTGTAATTTATATATTAAATTAAATTTTTACTGTCTAGCACTTGGTGGCCCAATGAACCACCTCTACCTGAGACATGCTTAAAATTAAAGAACTTGGATCAAATTCTAAACCCCCTTCCCCCTTCCTTAAAAAAAATTTCACACTGTTTAAAAAATAAAAGTTAAATTTTTACTTAAAATTAATGTAAAAAATATTTTTAAAAAATCAAATTAATACCTTGAATGTAGCTGGTTGTTTATATACCTACTAAAACAAATTATTTAGTTTAAAAAATATTTTTTTAAAAAGGATAACAAAAAGTAATGAAATTGTCAGGCTACAAAAGCAGCTTTTATACCCCCAGCACCCTTTCCTTTCCTCCTCTCATACCATGGTATGATTCTGCAGCCCAACTCCCTCTTCCTCTTCTTCAAAATTTAGAAACCCTTTCTCTTCTGCACTGCTCTACAGAAGGCTCTCTCCCCTCATCTGTTTGTTAGTAGTAATTCATATTTAAGCCTGCACAAATCACAGAAAGCTTTCTGTCTCAGCTCTCGATATACTAGTCTCTCTTACACCATTAACGAGAAAAAACTCTCTGCTTTTTTTTTTTCTTCTCTCCCCATTAAAACACATCACTATAGCAGTACAGCTGAAGCTGATAGCTCTGTCCACTCCCATCCCTATGCTCATTTAGCCCTTTTTCTTTTTTATCATCTCTCTGCTTTGATTTTCATTTTTGCCCCCATCTATATATATATAACAGAGCACAGTGTCTTTGGTGTTTAGCAAGGAATGCAAGAACAGGGGCTGGGAATGATGAATAGTGGGGGTAGTGGTTCAATTGGTGGGTTGAGTAGCGGGGAAGTATCTGTTTCTGGTGAGGAGAACCGCCAGTTCAAGGCGGAGATAGCTACACACCCACTTTACGAACAACTATTGGCAGCACACGTTTCTTGTCTCCGGGTTGCCACGCCCATCGATCAGTTGCCTCTTATTGATGCCCAGTTGTCCCAATCTCACAGTCTTCTTAGGTCCTATGCTTCTCAGCATCATCACTCTCTCTCCCACCATGAAAGGCAGGAGCTTGACAACTTCATGGTAACAAACCCACCCTCTGCTCTGTTTTAATTCCCAAAAAAAACCCATTTTTCCTTTTTATTTATTTGTATACATGTCACTGCTTCCTTGTTCCAGTTCAAGGCTGATACTTCCAATTTGGAAATATCAAACTCTAACCTTTGGAACATCTCCGAAGGAGTGATTTTTCTGTGTTGTTTGATTTTGGGCTAATTTGGTCTAGGGTTCAACATGGAAACTAAATTGTTGTTTGTTCATAGTTTTTTCTGGTTTATTTCAGGCACAGTACTTGATAGTGCTGTACAGTTTGAAAGATCAGCTTCAGCATCATGTCAAAGTCCACGCGGTTGATGCTGTCATGGCTTGCCGTGAAATTGAAAGCAATTTACAAGCTCTTACTGGTCTGTCTCTTACTCTCTTCACATAACATGAGTTTTACTTTAATTAATTAATTACTTAGTTGATATATCATATAATCAGCATCAAAAGACTAATTATTTTTCTTAATTTTTTTAATAACTTGTATATTCAAATAATTACTTAATCATAGATGTTTCTTCTTGTTTGAGTGTGGGGATGGGGTTGTTGGGAAGGAAGGTAGGAATTGATATGTGGGTTTCTTGTATGTTTTAAGTAGCAGTACCAAGAGTTGGTGCTGTAGGACCTACCAATAAATTTTAAGGTTATACAAATAAGAAACTACGAGATTGCAGTTGGTTTTAGGCACCAGCCAATTACAAAAATTGATTTTTGAAGTTTCATTGGAATAATTCTTTTTTTTTTTTTTTTTTGGGTAAAATGTTAATCAAAGTTTCATTGGAATAGTTAATGCATTAAATTTTCAGTATTGTTGGTTTGGTCCTCAATGATTGTGTTTGGTATTGGGGGTTTAGTAGATTCTTCCATGGGTTACAAATTACTATAATTTTTCTTGTGATTAGATATTCTTATCCACAGATTAGGCTTTATGGGTCATTTATTTAGAAATCAAATTACAAAAACATGTCTCTTACTCTTACAATAGATTTTGGATCGATTTGTTCACACACATAGAAGACAGAGAGGATAAGGGCATAAAAACTTACAAGGATTTGGGATTGGTACCTCAATTAGGCAAGAGTTAAAGATGAGAAGAGTAACTTGATGCTATATTTTTTTTCTTCTTTGGTCTTTGCTAGGCAGTAACTTAATGATGCAATATGATGAATTTGAAGTTAAAATATTTCAATGATGAGGATTTTCATAAACCAATGAAATCAACCGTATGAAGCCGCTAACTATTTGTTTCTTCTATAGAAAGCTCAAAATCATGGAAAAGTTAAATTTTATGAAGTACCAGTAATAGTATCACACAAAGCAATTGTAGGTTTCGTTTAAAGAGTTAACTACAAGCACAATTTCTCCTTGGCCAAATGGCAACAAATCTGCAAGGTTGTCTGATATTGCACATTAGGTATGACCTAATATAATGTTTGCTTTTGATTGCTTAATAAGCTTCTTGTTGCTACCTCTTTTCAGGTGCAACTCTGGGTGAAGGTACAGGTGCAACTATGTCTGATGATGAGGATGACCTTCAGATGGACTTCTCCTTGGATCAATCTGGTGTAGATGGGCATGACTTGATGGGAATTGGTCCTCTGCTTCCAACAGAATCTGAGAGGTCTTTGATGGAAAGGGTCCGGCAGGAGCTGAAGATTGAACTCAAACAGGTGATTGTTTTGACTCCATTCAACAGCTTTTGATTTATGAAGGAAGAAATTTCCTCTCAAATCGCTGATTAAACTATATTCCTGAATCCTTAATTAATAAGAATAACAAGGCATCTTGTAATTCCTGAACAGGGTTTTAAATCGAGAATTGAAGATGTCAGAGAGGAAATTTTACGAAAAAGAAGGGCTGGAAAGTTACCTGGTGACACAACTACAGTGCTGAAGAATTGGTGGCAGCAACACTCTAAGTGGCCATACCCAACCGTAAGAACTTGCAATGTTTCAGTTGCTGCATTTCATGCTTTATCTAACAATGCAAATATTTAATCAGAATGTGTGTCTGACTTGGAAAGAATCGATGATATGAGTTCATCTCCTCTAATTACAGGAAGATGATAAGGCAAAGCTAGTGGAGGAGACAGGGTTGCAACTAAAGCAAATAAATAACTGGTTCATCAACCAAAGGAAGCGCAACTGGCACAGCAACTCTCAGTCTGCTACCTCCTTGAAGTCCAAGCGCAAAAGGTAGAAAAATTCCGGATGGCTATTCGGGAGGAGAAGCCATCAATCTCAACATTGATACATATGTACTTCTCTGGGGTAAATAGTTGTAGCTAACATTTGGTTGAGAGGCACTGGAAGATTCAGAATTGCAAAGGCAGAACACAGGTTGTAGTAATGAGATGAGTTTATATATGTTGTTAATTACACCTGTAAGTTTGTAGATTTATGTTTCTAACAAAACTATGAACATACTTTCCTTGAACACCCTTTTTCTATGGAATGCCTCTGTTTTTATGGTGACATCTATAAATAAAGATTACTGTTAGCTATAATTGTTTTCTTCTTCTAAGTATCAAAATTTTATTGACTCAAAATTATCAAATTCTTCCTCTTCCTATCCTATATAAAACCGCTCAAGTTCTTGGTCCGTTGCGGTACGGGTTTGAGTGCCTCGAGAACCGACACTGCGGGCGTTAAGCGTGACCGCGTCTTCAACGCCACTGGCCTCACTGGCCGAACCAACGTCCACTGGTGCTGGTGTCATGATGTGGAGAGAGACCATCAGGACTAATGTGGTCGGGGCCCTCATGCCCCTGGCACTCGCTAACGTGTGCAAAGAGAATGGGTTGATCTTGATCAATTACACACTCCTCAGCCTGTATCTGCGACTATAATGTGCATCACCCGATGGGCTTGGCATCGGGCTCAAGGAAGAGGATACTCCGAAATTTCACCGCAACATTGTACTCCAAGACCAAGAATGACTTTATTCTAATAATGATGGCCGT